TTTGGAGATTTCGGCGTGCGCGCGCGAAGAAAAAACGAATGTGTCCCGCATGGTATTATTTGACAGGGATGATGGCCCTGGCAGGTGCGCAACCGTTGTCGCAGAAGTTCGAAAAAGTTGCTCGCAAAAGCCCGTTTGACAGAAATGTTTAAAAAGTGTTGGGTTTCCTACGAATCCGCAAGAGCGCGCGGGATGAGATTTTGACATTTTTTTGTTGAAAAACCATTAGTTTTTTGATGTTTTTATGTTAAAATCGCTCCGAACACTAAGCTTTTGGAAGGATTTCGTCTTGCGCGCGCGAATGTCCACTTTACCTTATTTTTTGCAAGGGATTCTTGAAATTTGATTATATTAGAACAAGAAATGTCATTTTATAGTGTTTTTTGCAAGGGAAAGCGGGGGGGAACAAAACAACCGGATCTTGATCACATCGAATTACCTGAGGCTTCCTCACGAAAATGATGAAAATGTAGCTGCGGCCTAGGCGGCGCAGGGGGGCCGTGCACCAGGGGTCCCAACAATAATTATTCTTTAGAATTAATAATGTTCAACAACAACGGAAAGGCGTGCACTCTGGTCCCGGTCAGGGCCGGAGCCTCCGGTGTCACTCCGCCGGTGGACGGGCGCACACTCCGGCTTCGTGGGTCTGTCAGCTTGAGACGCTGTGTGACGACGACTTCTCCGGCCCTGCGAGAAGCCATCTGCGGCGGTTTCACGCCCCGGTGGGCAAATGTGCACTCCGGCCCCGTATGCCCCGTCATCTGTGCCGTTCCCTCCGCAGAAAACGCTCCCCGTTCGCTACCCCCATCTCCGGCCCCGTGTGCACCTAAGACACCCTCAGGGACCCTCACGACGACGACAACGACGACGACGGGGATCCTGAGGAGAGGAGGAGGGCGCAGCGGCGCTCCGTTCAGAACGAGCGCCCGACACGGGAGGGGTGGAGGCGGACGCAGGGGCGGGCAGACGGGCCGCTCGGGCCCGGGGCGCCGCTGCTGCAGCTCCATCGGCAGGTGGCGGCGGATGAAGTCGTGCTCCGGCCGCGTCATCGCCTGCCCCCCCCGAGGTGCCCCCGCGTCGACGCCGCGCTCGCCGCGGGGCGGGGGGGGGGGCGGCGAGCGGCTCCAGGAGCAGTGCCGACGCCAAGGCGGGCACCTACCCACTCCCCCATGCTCCTCCTCCTCCTCCTCCTCCTCCTCCTCCTCCTCCTCCTCCTCCTCCTCCTCCTCCTCCTCCTCCTCCTCCTCCTCCTCCTCCTCCTCCTCCTCCTCCTCCTCCTCCTCCTCCCTGCTCCTCCTCCTCCTCCTCCTCCTCCTCCTCCTCCTCCTCCTCCTCCTCCTCCTCCTCCTCCTCCTCCTCCTCGAGCCTGCTGCTCTGGTCTGGGCCCTCCGAGCCACCACAGGGCCCATCTCGCCCTGGACGGATGGCCAGCTCGTCTCTGCCGGGCGGAAGCCAAGGTTACGCCACCCGCCATCAGAGCCCTCTCGTTCGGTGGCGGTCTCGAGTGCAGCAAGCGCTCACGAAGAGATGCGGTGGAGAGGTCACGCTGAAAAGATGCTTCTCTCACTTGGACGTCGACTCCCATTTGAAAGCGAGGCAGGCTTTGACAGCCTCCTGTGGCAACGAGGTGGCAGATCAGCTGGCCCAGCGAGGAGCTGAGGCCGCTGCTGCCCCCATCCGTTACCATATCAAAGTCCTGAACGTTGCTGACGCCAGAGCCATCATCGCGGGGAGTTTGAGGGTTCACTCGGGGCTGTCTCGGGTTTGTCTCGGGTTGGGGAGCCTGAGGCCCGTTCTGGTCATTCCTTGACCCGTCTCTCGAATAGGATGTGGTCTTGTAAAGTGTGCCGCCAGACTGCATCATCAAAATAGCACGCGCGAGCCCAACGGACCGGCTGGGTCGGGCGGGCGGGACGGGTCGGGGGAGGCCTAACAGACGGATCGGGTCGAGCGGGCGGGTCGGGCGGGCAGGACATTGAAGTATGATACACCACCAGGCTGGCACGCGCGTGCCCTCACGGACGGGCCGGGTCGGGCTGGTGGGTCGGGTCGGGCGGGCCCTTACGGGCGGATCGGGTCCGGCGGGCGGGACATTAAAACGAGATGCATCATCGGCCTGGCACGCGCGTGGCCTAACGGGCGGGTCAGGCCGGGCGGGCGGGAAAGTATGACGCGTCACCGGGCGGGCCCGCGCGCACCCCAACGGGCGCGCCAGGTCGGGCGGGCGGTTGAAGTATGATGCATCATCGAATTTGCACGCGGGTACCCTGACGGGCGGGTCGGGTCGGGCGGGCGGATCGGGTCGGGCGGGCGGGCCTCAACGGGCGAGTCGGGTCGGGCGGGCGAGGCCTTCAGGTGTGATGCGTTGCGGGGAGGTCTCGGGCGAAACGGCCGCTCCAGCATCCGCAAGTAGCGGCAAGACTGCTCTGAAGGACCCCCCTGTGGTGCTAAATTGCGAGGAATTATCAGGCGAGAGCGCACTTCGCTTTTTGAGCGAGGACAAACGCAAGGAAAACAATTCGACTCAGCCATCGGTCTAATATATCGACGATCGCTTAGTACGACAATCTGCTGATGTCTCCACACTTGACACAGCTAGAGTCGCAAGTATCGAAGTGGATGACTGATGCATGCAACACCCGCCCACACACAACGAAAAGCGCCGCCCGCCGATACAGGGGGAAAGCGACACACACACAATCACTCGCGTAATCTCTACCTCTTCCCTTTCGCTCTCTCTCTCTCTCTCTCTATTCCCCCACTACCGTTGGCAAGCTTCAGAGAGGCACGGCACGTGCAAGAAGTCTCTTGCCCTCTTCGTGACTCGTGACGTCCTCTTCGTGTCGGCCTAGCACGCGTCTACGGCTGGTGTTGGTGAAGACCGACCCATGGCAGAACGCAGATGCAGCACACAGTGCAGTCCTAGCGAGTCCTGCTCTCATCACCCTTCCCTCCCTCTCTCTCCATCTCTCGTTATTTCTCTCTACAATGGGCAAGCTGCAGATTACTAGGCCTGGAGCATGCAAGAGGCCTCTCACATTCCCATTCACAGCGGCCGCTAAAGAACGTGCCTGGCAGGTGACTGGGGCTCGTGCCGATGCCATCGCGTCGGAGACGCGAGCATGATGAGACAGACGTGCCCACGGCAGAAGCCAGAGGCAGCACGCTCTGCAGTGTTATCGCGGCCTACTCTCTCGTGGGACTGCGTGGCTGGAGAACACAGCCAGAGGCCAAACGACTGGCATCGAAAAAACAGCATGCCGACCAGCGCGAAGCGCTGTGAAGTGCCAGCTGCCGGCCGAGCCAGCGCGAAGCGCAAGCATTGGGGGCGACGAAAGCCAGGCACACCCGGGCCCTGCATCGGTGCCGTGGAAGTTGCAGAAGACGCGCGCGAAAGCGGAGGGGAGCGAGGAGCCACGGGGAAGCCTCGCGGCGCCGCGTGCCCCCGAGACGCCGAGCCTCATCCATGAAGCCTTGGCCGCTGCTGCGCCATCCCCTCGCATGGCTCAGGCACGGCAACGCCGCGAGACGGGTCTCGCCCTGGGCCGCGCCAAGTGCCCGCGCCGTTGGACGAGGAGAGGCCCGCGCAGAGTGGAAGTGGGCCTCTGCTCCCAGGGGTTTGGGAGAAAGGAAGGCGTCGCCTCGGTGAACTATGGGCCCGGGGCTCGGCGGGTCGCCAGCAGCTGGGGCCCTCGGAGGCCTCCACGCGGCGGGCGCCTGCATGTGTGCACGGAGGCTGCGCGAGCGGTCGTCCTCGGGAGCCTCTCGCCGTTCCTCCCTCCAGTGCTCCCTCACCCCGATGCCATACAAGAAAAAGACGAGGGCTCCTGCAAGAGGGAGACACCTCTCGGTCCCGCGGCGGATCCCACAAGCGTGGCGGTCCTGTGGTGCCAGCGGGCACCGACCAAGAAAAGCTACATCGAGCACTGGCTCAGAGTCTAAACCCACCAGCCCTTTGGGCTAAAATGGTCTAACGAGTCCTTTCTTTCCCCTTCCAAAAAACCCTCTTTCCTCCTCCGAGGCCCCGGCATGTCCTCTCCCTCCCTTGAGGGACGATGCATCCAAAAATTAAAGGTGCCAGCGCCGTGGCACAGCTTACAAGCGGAAGCACGTCCTCACAAATCCAGTTCCGCCCTATCACCGTCCGCGCAGCAGATCCGAGCACGAGCGCCGTGGCCAGCTGGGAATAGCGACGCCTCTGTCGAATGCGCAGCGCGCGCGCCGTCACTTCGGGCCCAGGCCGTCCGCTCACTCGTCGCCGCCGCAGGCCGGCGGACCCCGCGCGCCCTCCGGGTGGAGCAGGCGACTCGGCCGTGGAACCGCGGACGCCTCTGGGGCCCGAGGCCGCCCGAGCAGCGCCTTCTTGTTCTGGCGCTGTAATCGGCGGCGCTGCGCCCTCGACAGCCACGCGGGCTTCAGCAAGCCCTCCCTCCCCTCCGCCTCGTCCGCGCCCTCGCCCTGGTCCTCGGCCCCTGCCTGCTCGTCCTCGTCCTCGCCCTGGCCCTGGTCCCGGTCCTCGTCCCTGCCCTGGTCCTCGCCCCTCCGCCCAGCCCTCGCTTGCGCTGCTGGCGGCGCTGCCACCTCGCCCTGGTCCTCCGCCTCGTCCGCCGCTCGCAAAACGACAGGCTCCATCGACGGCAACCTGCGATCCACAAGGTATTCCCACAGCGGTCCTGGGATGGCGCAGGGCCTGCAGAACGGCCAGGGTCACAATGCAACGCGGGCTGACCAGACGGCAAGCCTTCGAAGACTTGAGCCCTGTCTGTCTGAGCCACAGCAGTGCCTACGGAGGCAAGAGCGCCCTTCCTGAGGTTCGGGCCCTCTTTGGCCAGGGCCTCTCGGAGTAAGCTGTGAGGAAGTATCGCACGGGAGCGTTGTTGTTACTGTCTGGGGGCCAGTTTGGGTGCAACCCCGAAAGGCTCGAGGGTGAGCCTCAATTTCGAAGGACATGCAGCCGGCGCCGAGGCGAGAGCGCCAAAGCACCTGCAAGGGGAAGGGACAAGGCGGAGGGAGAAGGATGGAGCACGAGAGAGAGAGAGAGTAGCAGAAGAGGGGTTAGGAGCAGAAAACACGGGGCAGAACCAGACGGGCAGATCAGGCGGGTAAACCCTAACGGACGGGTCGGGAAGGCGGGCCCAGGCGGCCAGGTCGAGAAGGCTGGTTGCTGAAGCGTGCGCCGTGCATGAACCGCGAGGAAGTCCCGAGCGATAGCGCGATTCCCAAATGAATCATGAGGAAATCCATAGCGAGTGTGACTCCTTCGTGTCGAAGGCGCGGCGACCGAATAGTCCGAATAGATGGCGAGGAAGTCCCACACGAGAGCGCAATTCCTGCATAAATTGTGAGGTCCTGCGCGAGAGCGCGATGTGGGAGTAAATTGTGAGGAAGAATTAGGCGGGAGCCGTTGTTGATGTAGTTCGGGGGCCAAAACCCAGCTTGGTGGCACCCAGCTTTCCCTTGTAAAAACCAGGGTTCGAGCCCCGGAAGAAGCACTTTCATCGAAAATTCAAATGGTTAGCGGGGGGTCAACTACATGCTTCAAAAAATACACATTCAACAACAACAACAACAACAACAACAACAACAACAACAACAACAACAACAACAACAACAACAACAACAACAACAACAACAACAACAACAACAACAACAACAACAACAACAACAACAACAACAACAACAACAACAACAACAACAACAACAACAACAACAACAACAACAACAACAACAACAACAACAACAACAACAACAACAACAACAACAACAACAACAACAACAACAACAACAACAACAACAACAACAACAACAACAACAACAACAACAACAACAATCAGTTTTAGACTGTTCGCCCTTATCTGCTCGAGTGTAGAATAACGCGAATTTCCCAAACCCTCGATACCCGCCCTTTTCGTCTTCGATCGAACCCCTTTTGGGTGGTATACCTTTCTTCCCTGCAGGCCGGGCCCCGGCAAGCGGCGGGGCGGCCGCGGACCGTCGGCCTGGCCAGCGGCAGCGCTGATCGGCGGGGCGGCCGCGGACCGTCGACCCGACCCCAAGAGGGACGGACAGGGGACCGACCACGACGACGACGACGACGACGACGACGACGACGTCGACGACGACGGCAACGACGGCGACGGCGACGACGACGACGAGCGAAAGCGAGAGCGAGAGAGAACGACAGCAGAGCCACAAAGGACACGAAGTAGGCCACGAAGGGCGACAGCGGGGACACGAAGGGAATGCGTATGGGGCCACGAAGAGCGCGAACGAGCGTGGGCCACGAAGGGCAGATAATGCGGGGCCACAGAAGGCAACGATGGGGCCACTGAGGGTAGCACCTGGGCCACGTAGGACAATGAGGGGGCCACAAACGGCGACAGCGGGGCCACGAAGGGCATGCACATGGGGCCACAACGGGCGCGAACGAGCGGGGGCCACGAAGGGCATACGTATGTTGGGCCGCGGAGGGTAAGGACGGGGCCACTGTGGGCAGCAACGGGGACACGAAGGGAAGCGAGGGGGCTACGAAGGGCGACAGCGGGGCCACGAAGGGCATGCATATGGGGCCACCACGCGCGCGAGCGAGCGGGGGCCACGAAGGGCATACATAGATGGGGCCACGAAACAAAGCGAGGCGGCCACGAAGGGCTGCAACGGGGCCACGAAGGGCAGCGAGGGGGCCACGAAGGGCTGCAACGGGGCCACGAAGCGCTGCAACGGGGCCACGGAGGGCAGCGAGGGGGCCACGAGGGGCTGCAACGGGGCCACGAAACAAAGCGAGGGGGCCACAAAGGGCTGCAACGGGGCCACGACGGGCAGCGAGATCCCGATTCCTAGGTAATCTGTGAAGGAGTCCTGAGCGTGAGCGCGACTCCTGGGTGCCTGGGTGTCGGGAGCGCGGCGCTGGAGAGAAATTGCAAGAAATTCCAACGCAAGGGCGCTATTCTTCAGTAAATTGCAAGCAAGTATCCAGCGAGAGCGCGACTCGAGAGCGCAGGAGGAGCGATTCCTGAATAAATCGTAAGGAAGTCCCAAGCGAGAGTGCGATTCTTGAATAAAATGCGAGGAAGTCTCGGGCGGGAGCGGGGGTCCTGGTTAAATTGTGAGGAAGTCTCAAGCGGGAGCCGTTGTTGTTGTAACCCGGTGGCCAGGGGGCCAGTTTGAGCAGGAAGACTCTCCCTTTCAAAAACAAGGTGCGAGCCCCGGGGGGGGGCACTTCAATTGAAAAACAATGTGCACCGATGGGGGGGGATCAACAAAAATTATTCTTCAAGAATGAGAGTTCAACAGCAACAACAACAACAACAACAACAACAACAACAACAACAACAAAGACAACAACAACAAAGCAAGGGCGGCCAGCGCCGACCCGTGACCCCCCCGGCAACAACCACAACAACGATCCCCCCCACCACACAACACCACAACAACGCCGTTTGAATTCGATTTCTGTGAACATCTGCGGACCTCCTCTCTGGCACCAACGAATTCCTGCCGGCAAAAAGCATGTGTGCACCGGCGAAGCGAGGAATTCCTAGCAATCCTCAGGAATTCTCAGGAATCCTGGGGGATTCCTAGGAATCCTTCGGAACGCCAACTCGACGCCAGATCGACGCCGGATCGGCGCTGATCGGCGCGGATCGACGCTGAAGACGGAACGAACCGGGCACGCCAGGCTCCGACGACTTGCGACCCGAGCATTGCGGCGTCGTTCGCCTTGGAGCTTCGTCCAAGGCCACGCTGGGCCCCCGCGCCCTTGGGACCCCACCCACCACCCTCCGCGAGCTCAGGGTCCGGGCGGCCAGGTCTTGGTGCCCTCCAGTGGCGGGGGCGCCCCTCGGATCTCGCTCGCTCTCTCCGGCCCGCCCCTGGGCCAGAGATCCGCCCGCGGCGGTGGCGCGGCTTGGCTGCGAAGGAATACGGCGGAGTGTGCTGGGCCAGCTCTGCTTCGGGGGCTGTCCTCAGATCCTGCGTCCAGGACGCGCAGGAGGTCCTGGCCAGGAGGGCCCCCTCGGGGCCAAGTGCGGCAGCCCGTCGTTGCGCTCGCCCTGCTCTTGCCCAGGATTCGGTGGAGCTTCGTCGTCGACAGCTTTTCGTTCCAGGACGATCCAGACAGGAGTTTGCCCGTCAGACGCGTCTCCCCCAAGTTTGTCACGCTTCTTGTCAAAGGGGCGGTTCGAAGAAGTGTCCATCGGGAGGAGCATGCCGAGCAGTTTGATTTCGCGAGTGGAGTGGACCAGTCTTTGGGGGGGGCATCTACCAGCTTCTGTCGGACAAGGGGTCTGCGATCTGGTCCATAGATCACAATTATGCCCCTTCTGCGTGCGCGGCCAATGCATACTGGTGCCAGCATCGAGTATTCGCCCATAGCCCCGAGGCCGCGGAGGAGCGCCAGCTCTGCAGGGAAGAGAAAATCCTCTTCATCGTAGATGCAGGTGCCCAGTCTTCGAGGCGTGGCGTCGCGAGAACCTGGATTCTACGGTGGCCCTCGCCGCCACTCGACCTCGGCTGGCAAACTTGTTTCCAAATGTATGCTCCCGAGCCCCTCGCATTGGATGCGATGCCGGCCCGAAAGCCCCTGGGACCCGTGCACCAGGCACTTCCGGCGGCCCCAAAATGGGCCCCTTCTTGTTCCTGCGGGGGGGGGGGGGCGTGTTTTCACTGTCGGATACGGGTTCGACGGAAACCCTCCTGGACGCAGGACAGCAGGCTGGTCAGCGGTCGTCCTAGACAGCGAAGGAAAGACCCTGGCTGCCCTTTGTGGAGTTGCTCCCCGCGCGGAGGGCCCGGAGCAGCAGGCTCACGACGGGGAGGCGCTTGCTGCCCTGACGCTCTCGGGGCGCGCGGCCCTGGGCCCCAGGGTGACCACGTGCATGCACTGCGCCGGCGCCGCGGGCTGCCTGCAGAACCCCACCACGGACGCCACGAGCGGCAGATCGGCGAGGGCCCGCACGCGGGCTGAGCTCGGGGGCCGCCCCGAGGGCGCGGAGGTATGCCAAGTCCCTGCGCACACCTCCCAGGTGGACGTCAGAGAAGGCGAGATGGTCGAGCTTCCGAGGTTCGGGAATTCGGAAGCGGGCCGTCTGGCCTGGCAGGGTGCTTTGCCCTTGAGTCTCTCGGACAAGGACCGCCTGGTGATCAGAGGCTGCTGGGAGATGGCGACTCGTCTTGGTAAGTGCCGTGCCGCTCAGCAGGTCGAATGTCAGGACCTGGCGCTCGGAAGCAAGCCATGCAGGCCTGGAATGGCTTGGGTATGTTCTGTTGAACGCCATTCCAGGCCTCCCCGTGCTCCTTCCTGGAGTTCGGGCCAGGGAGAGAACGCCCAGGATGAGCCTATTTTCTGGCCAATCTGCTGACCCAACCGTCTCTCGTCCTGACCCCTTGGACGTCCCCGCCCCTCCTTCCCTCGGTGTGCGGCGGCGGCTGGGACACTCTCTCGAGCAAGGTGGCGCCTTTTAAAGCCAATACGGCCACTCAACACGATTCGCTGCTGTGCTGTGTGCAGTGCGGGGCCGTGGCATGCTCCAGGACCGCGCGCGGCGGCCTTCGAAAGGCTTTGTCGGCCGCAGGCCTCGGGAGGCCGCCTCGTTGCACCTGGACCGTGCGGGTCGGTGTCCTGACCGTCGGAAGCCGAGTGTGTTCGCGATGGCATATGTGGGAGCCCCACCCTCAAAGTTAAGGATGAGTGGCACCCCTTTCTCTCGGTACCCCCACCCTCGGGAGCGGCAAAGAGGGGGGTGTCCAAGAGGGGGGGGTGCAAATCATGACCGGCGGCATGTGCGCGGCCCAGCGGGGGGGCCAGGGACGTCATGGAATAAGAAGAGGCGCCATGAGATCTGGGGACATAGCATGGCCCCCGCCATGATATCCACCCCCCCCCCTAGTCATCACCCCCCTCTTTTCCGCCCCCGACACCCTCCCCCTCAGAGATCGTGGGGGGCAGGGGTAGGGTTCGCCTGTGGCCCCCTGCAGGGCAGACCAGGACCTCCAGTAGGTCCCCCGCGCACGGTCCCCCGCGCCCCCCCGCCCCGCACGGCGAGGGCGCGGCAGCATGGCCGTGGCGAGGTGCCCGGCGCTGCTCGGGCCTCACGGAGGCCACGGCCTGCGCCCCGAGCCGGGCCAGGGAGGCGAGGCGAGCGGGGAGGCGTCGGGTGGTTTCGACGACCCCGCACGTCGGATTGGGTCGAATCTCTCTCGGTCGTCGGCGTCCTCCTCCTCCTCCTGGTCCTCCTCCTCCTCCTCCTCCTCCTCCTCCTCCTCCTCCTCCTCCTCCTCCTCCTCCTCCTCCTCCTCCTCCTCCTCCTCCTAGTGGCCCTTCTGATGCTGCTGCTGCTCCCTCTCCTCCTCGCCCCGCCTGGGTCGCAGGCGTCGAGCACCGCGAGATGGAGGTCTGGCCACCCTGCATGGCGTTCGGGTCGTCTCTCATCGCCGCCAACTCCCGCTCCAGCTCCTGGGCGGGAGGGAGGCGAGGGCGACGGCGTTGGGTGCGGAAGTCGGCTGCACGTGAGAGTGACCCTGGGCCAGAGTGACTTTGGTGCGCGGCTTTGGGGGGCGCGAGGGGGCCAAACCCAAGCGCGCAGGCCGCTGCTATCGCATCGCATTCAGCAACCCGGGGGGCCCCAGTTGGCCCGCACCAAAGGTCACTCCGCCGAAGGGTCACTCTTACGCGTAGCAAAGAAAGGTCCCAGACATCCGCCGCCTCGAACAGCAGAAAAACTAAAGGCGGCTGGCTTGCTGAAGCGCCGGACTTCTTGGGGCGTTGGGTGTTGAAGGTAGGATTCCGGGGCTTCGCCTCCGGCTCGTGTCCAAGGTGTACCTTTTCCCGTGCAAGCTCTTCTGCACCGCCAACACCCCGCGCCCTCCAGCCGCCTGAGGCCCCGCCCGCCCGCGCCCTGTCTCCCCAATTAGTGCTTTGCGCGGCCCGCCTAGCTCTTAACTGGAAGAGGCTCGCTCTCGACCCGCAGACCAAAAAGTTGAAGGTAGGATTAAGTCGGGCCTGTCCCCCTACAGGGGGATTTTCGACGAAAAATTAAAAATACCCCCAAAATACCCCAAAATGGTCAAAAAAATACTAAAAAAATAATCCCCACACTGATTTTGGATCACTTTGTTACTATTTTCATTGTATTTTATATTTTTCGTCGAAAATCTCCCTGTAGGGAGCCAGGCCCGAGGAGGGAGGCCAAGGGGAGAGGCGGGAGGGAGGCCAAGGAAAAAGCGGGGCACGAGGGCCGCAGACGGCGCTGCGCGAGCGGCGCACGCGAGCGGGGCTCCTCGCCACGGGAGCGAGACGTGCGAGGGGGTCGCTGCACGCAGCCCCTGCAGAGCCGCCGGGTCCGCCATGGCCGCGGGCGGCGAGGAGGAGGAGGAGGAGGAGGAGGAGGAGGAGGAGGAGGAGGAGGAGGAGGAGGAGGAGGAGGAGGAGGGAGAGGAGGAGGAGGAGGAGGAGGAGGAGGAGGAGGAGGAGGAGGGAGGAGGAGGGAGGAAGGAGGAGGAGGATGGGCAGGAGGAGGAGTAGGAGGAGGAGGAGGAGGAGGATGGAGGGAGGAGGAGAGGAGTAGGAGGAGGAGGAGGGAAGGAGGAGGAGGAGGAGGAGGAGAGGAGGAGGAGGAGGAGGAGGAGGAGGAGGAGGAGGAGGAGGAGGAGCAGGAGGAGGAGGAGGGGGAGGAGGAGGAGGAGCAGGACTGGGCAAGACCAAATCTAGTGGCTGAGCGCTGCTTTATCTCGCCCGCGCGTGCGCGAGGGCGCGCCAAGAGCGGGCGCCAGGGTGCTCGTCTGGGCCCCGAGAGGTCGCGCCGGAAGCGGGCGAAAGGCCCCCACGGAGAGCCCCAACAGGGAGGGTCGAAGCATGTGAGGCCCCAAAATGGTCCCAGAGTGCTGCCAAGATGCTGTCAAGATGGCCCGGGATGGTTCAAGCTAATCTACCAGACACGAAGACTGCCTAAAACTGCCCAAGCACCTCTCACTGAAGGCTCCCGAGATGGCAGAATGCACTGAGATACCCATGATGGGTGCTGTTCCTTTGCCCTCTCACCATTGCCGCCCCGACAGGCTTCTTGGGCCCCGGGTTGACCCCAAGAGGGTCCAAAGGCCCCCGAAAAGGACTTTCGGATGGCTCGACGAGAGCCCCAGGGCCCCAAGCTCAGTCCAAGAGTGCGGGCCGATCGGCGCCGGGCCTTTAGACGGCCCAGAGATGACCCCAAAACGCCCCAGGATGGTGCGATGGTGGCCCCAAGATGGCGGCCCAAGAGCACCCCAGACAGCCCAAATGACTGCAACGACACCTCAAGACGTCCGAATATGCGCCACCCTAAGCCCCCAAGGAGGCCCGAGTCATGGAAAGTTAGTCCCTTGGGTCCAAACACTTCTGGGTTTCTGGCCCTCGCGGGCTCAGGTGAGCCGCTCGGGCCCCAAAATGGCCCAAGAGGGCCCTGAGAGGGCCCCGGGGCCCCAAGGAGGACACCAAGAGACCCTAAAGAGGCCCCACCAGCGGCCGAAGAGCGCGGGCCAGTGGATGTCAAGCTCCAATTGGAGCACAAGATTGGCCCAAAAGGCCCCAAATGCAACACCAAGACGGCCCCGGGTGGCCCAAACTGGCCCAAGACAGCCAAACAGACCGCAAGCATGGCTCTCAAGTCGGCCAAAGAGCCTCTCTCCAGAGACTCACAAGAAGGCAGAAACACTCGGCGTTTGATCATCATGGCGTTCTCGCCCTTGCGGGCTCCAATGGGACGAATCGGGCTCCGAGTTGGCCCCACAAAGGGCCTCAAGAAGGCTCAGGAGAAGCCTAATGAAGAGGGCGCCACGATCTCACAAGAGGGCCCAAAGAGGGCCCCAGGAGACGTCCAAGAGGGCAAGAGGGCCCAAGGGCGGCCCAATAGCGGTGACAGATGGATGGCAGGCCACAGGGCGACCACAGTATACGTAGCCCAAAAACCAGCCCCAAGAGATCTCAAGATGGCCCAAATGTGCCCCAGTGGTCCAAGACAGTCCCCAAAGGCCCCCAAGAGGCCCCAAGAGGCGCCCTTGACGACCCCAGGAAACCCCCTGAAGCTTGCCAGGGACCCCACGAGTCCCCCAGGATGTTCCGACAGCCCACGACGCCTGTTCGTGTGTTCAGGAATCGATGCCGATTGGTGGAAACGTATTCCGTATTCCGTATTCCGTTGCGTGTTGCACAAAATACACCAAGCGCTTGTCTCCCCCACGCGAGCTTTCCACGACAGCATGGGGGAAAATACCACCACACGACAACCTCCCAAGGGCGGTCGGGGCTTGGGGGCGAGGTCGAAGTGCAGCGCGGAGTCCCCCGATCAGGACACCGGGTTCGGCTTCGGTTCGCGCCGTGCGCGGCGCGCGTGCGGCCGGGGCGAAGCCGCGCGAGGGCGAGACACACTCGGGCGTTGGCAGAACTGGGTTTAGGGGGACCTGGTTTAGGGATGTGTACTGGGGGACGCCCCCCCCGCCCGTCCCACTAACCCGAACTGCCACCACGCGAAAAAACACCAGCTGCGGCAGACCTGGTTTAGTGATTCTGGCCCATTTGAGGTCCCCTTGCCTGGGGTCCTGGCTACTCCCGACACAGGCAGGCCTCCTTCGGGCAGGCCCCCGCGGGGCGGGCGGCGGCCCCCCGCGCGGCGGTCCCCCCGGCCGGCCCCGGGCGGCCGCCCCGCGGCTCTGTCCCGTGGCCGCTGCGCGCCTGCCCCCCGCAGGTGCCCCGCTGCTCGTCCCCGCGGCTGACCCACGCGCGTCCCCGCGGCTCTTCCGCGGAGGGTCTGTCACGATCGCCCCCTGCCCGTGCCAGCGGCTGTGCCGCGGCTGCTCCGCGGCCGCGTCGCTGCTGTCCCGCGGTCGTCCTGCGGCGTGGTGGTCCAGTCGCTGTCCCCGCGGTGGAGCCGCGGTCGCCCCGAAGCTACCCCGTGGTTTCACAGGTTGCTCTCCTCTGCGCTTGTCCCGCGGCTGTTCCGCGGATGTACCGCGGTTCATCCGCGGTTGCTCCGCAGTTTTCGCTACAACACCCCCTCGTGCCTCGGGGACAGCTCCACCTGCTGATGGCCGGCCCCGCCTCGCGAACCAGAAAGCGCACAGACTACAAGTCCGCTGGGTTCCACGAGTCCGCCTACCTACCGCGGTCACAGCGCCACCCGTGGGATAACTGACAAGCAAGCAAGCAGGAAGGCCATGCATCCAGAAGGACGCGTGGGCTGGCAAAGACACTCATGGTTCCTGCAGTGATTCGCTGCGACAGACAATCGGCGCCAGCGCGGATTGGACTAAACAGCCCGAGAGGAAGAGGAGGAGGAGGAGGAGGAGGAGGAGGAGGAGGAGGAGGAGGAGGACGAGGAGGAGGAGGAGGAGGAGGAGGAAGAGGAGGAGGAGGATAACCGACAGCTCACCTAAGAAACCCCCAGGAAGATGCTGCCGCTGCGCGAGGCGCACCGGGGAGAAACGCCTCGCTGCCTCCCTGGAAGCGCCCGCACGCCGACCACGCGGGGCGGCGGCGCGCGCCCCCCTGGGGGGACGCACAAAGAAATGGACACAAAGAGGTGGTGGCTGCAATCGACTACCCCCCCTCCCGCCCCAAGCGGCCCCCAAGAGCCCTCTAAGAGGCCCCAGGGGAGCCCAAGACGCCGCCAAGGGGCCCCAAGTCGCTCCCAAGAAACCCCCAAGAGGCCCCCAAAACGGCCCCAAGAGGCCCCGAATAGCGCTCCAGGGCCGGCGGAATGAGCGAAGCGACCCGCCGCCCCACCTGGAACGGCGTGCGAGCCGCATGGTCTGCACGAACTCAGTCCCCTCAATCTGCGCGCACACCAACTCCTCGTACCAATACCCAATTCCTCAGAACCCTTGCAACCCCTCCTGGGGTCCTCCCCGCGGCGTGCTCATTCCGCCGGCCTGGGGGCCACAGCTGCGGAATGGGCGCTCTTTGGCCATCATTTTCGTTTCAGAACACACCTCGTTGGGAACGTTCGTCTTCAAGGCGCCGCCGGCCTCTCTCAGAGGCCTCTCCGGGAGCTCACTGACTCGATTTTGGAGGCCTCCAGACGCTCTCATGGGGCGATCCTGGCCGTCCTCGAAGCCATGTTGGTCCAGTCTGGCAGCCTCGGCCCACTTCGACTGCAAAAAAACAGCACGCAAAAAACCTCGTAAAACACATATGAGTATGTCCATTCTGGCTTTGTCGAGCCTCTATTCTTGCCTCGTTTCGAGCTCACGTGCGTCTTCGCGGGCTCTTGGAAGCACGTTGGAATCAGCGGGCGCTCTCTGCGGCTGTCCTCCACGCCTCCCGACCCCGGCCTGGGCCGTCTGGCAGCATTCTTGGGGCTTTCTTGGGCCGTCCTGGGCGCGCCCAAGGGGTCCCCGGAGTCCCTTTTGAGGCCCCCAAACTACCCCAAAACTAAGTCGGATCTCGTTTGTACGCCTCTCCGTATGCCTTTTCCTTTCGTCCAAACTTTTGCACACCCTCAGGCGTTTTTTGTTTTAATCATTGTCTGACTCTCTTACGGCTTTCTGGCGTCTTTTTAGGTCATTGTCCGGCTCTCTTGGGGATTTCTGAGAGTCTTTAAGACCCCACTTTCGTATTTTTCCAAGCCCTCTGAGATCTTAGTCCAATATGGCGTCTTTTTTGGGTCATTTTCCGGCTCTCTTGGGGCTTTCTGAGAGTCTTTACGACCCCACTTAACAAAAGCCCAGCCAAAGCTGCGTGAACACCCCCGTTACATCCCGATTTGCCCCCCACGCAACCTCCGCGTTCCAAAAAAAAGTGGGCCGGCGGTGTCTGCCCCCTCAGGGGCGTTCAATTAAATAAATAGACACAAATAACCGGATTCACCATATTTTCCCATATTTCCTGGGGTTTCTGTCTTCCCCCCCCCCACTTCCCATAATTGTTCTATATTTGTTCCTGGGAATCGACGATGAATTGTGTCGGTGCGTTTTTTCCTCTCCTGATTTCGATTGAATAGAGGGCTCCAGGGCCATGGGGGGACGGGGGCCGGGAGGCGAGGTCGAGGGGGGGGGGGCAAAGGCCCCTTGCGGGGGCCAGGGGAAGGCTGGGGATGACGAAGGAAAGAGCGACGAATCGACAGTCCCGAGCTGCACGACGAATGAACGAACAGACGCACAGCCGACGAGAACGACAGAAGCACCGATGCAGGGCACCGAGTTCTTGAACACAGCTGCGCAAGAAAATCGGGGGCTCCGAGCTCTTGCACACGGCTGTGCAGGAAAAGAATTGGTGGTTCCACGCTCTAGAACGAAGCTGTGCAACAGAAGAAAGGGATCCGAGTTCTGGAACACGCATGTGCAAGAGAAAGGGGCTCGGCTCCAGAGCGAATTTTGCCGGAGAGTGAACGGGCAGCCCCGGCCATCACTCGGCGACCTTGGGCCGATCCCCCTGGCCAAAAGCCCCCCGGACGGGCCCCCACAGTCGAGCGCGGCGTCCTCTGAGGCGGACGGCGACGGTGTGGCCATCAAAAGGCCAGCTTCCCCGTCGCTATTAGGGACTCGGGGTGGCACTTCATGATCACTCCAGGGTCACTCTGAGACGACCTCCGCTTGCCCCTGGGAGGTTGCCCCATCGTCTCCGCCAGGTGTTGGCAGCCGCAGCCATCTTGCGAGCGCAGCGCCGTGGGAGAGGCCCGCCGCCCACGGAAAAGCCAGCCAGCACCTGCCCGCCCAGAGCCCGCGAGCGAGCGGCGTGAGCTGCGGCCGCCGCGGACACCGCCGCGCCCCGACCACTACCAGAAGCGGTGCGAGGAAACCATCTGGGAAGCCTCGGGCAGCCTCGGGCAGCCTCGGGCAGCCTCGGGCAGCCTGTGCCTGCGGACGTCGCGTGGCGAGGCCTGGCGCCACGGCGGCCCCCCGCCCGGAGGGAGAGCCGGGGCGTCCTCGCGGGCAGCATCGAGGTCGTCTTCGGGCGGCCCTGGCTCCTGACGGCCATCGTGAAAGGAGGGGCGATGGGCGAGGGAGATCCACAGTGGCGGTGTCTCCACACCCTCCGCCCCCTCATCCTCCACCTTCTCCTACTCATCCCACTACTACTGCTACGACAACAACTATGACTACGACTACGACTACGACTACGACTACGACTACGACTACGACTACGACTACGACTACGGCTACGACTACGACTACGACTACGACTACGACTCCGACTACGACTACGGCTACGGCTACGACAACTACTGCTACTACTGCTGCTGCTACTCCTGCTGCTACTACTACTACTACCACTACTACTACGACTACTACTACTACTACTACTACTACTACTACTACTACTACTACTACTACGACTACTACTACTACTACTACTACTACTACTACTACTACTACTACTACTACTACTACTACTACTACTACTACTACTACTACTACTACCTACTACTACTACTACTACTACTACCTACTACTACTACCTACTACTACCTATTACTACCTACTACTACTACTACTACTACTACTACTACTACTACTACTACTACTACTACTA